AAAGTTTGTTTTTGTTGTTGTTTTTGAGACAGAGTCTCACTCTGTCAGGGGAGTAGAGTGCCATGCATCATAGCTTACAGCAACCTCAAACTCTTGGGCTTGAGCAATCCTCTTGCCTCAGCTGCAGGAGTAACTGGGAGTTACAGGTGCCTACCACAACACTCAACTAGTTTTTCTATTTTTAGTAGAGATGGGGTCTTGCTCTTGCTCAGATTGGTCTCAAACTCCTGACCTCAAGCAATCCACCCATCTCAGCCTCCCAGAGTGCTAGGATTACAGACATGAGCCACTCCCACTTGGCTTTAAACTTAGTTTTTGATAACGTGATAAACACCTACACATCCACCACCCAAAACTAAAGCTGACAATGACCTGCTTCTAACCATAAGTCTCAGCTATCACATTCTCAAGGTAAATACCATTTTGAGTCATGTGTTCAACTCTGATTTGCTTTCCCTTTGATATATTCTTAGGGCTGTTTTTATTTTAGTTTTTTGTTTGTTTGTTTGTTTTGAGACAGTCTCACTCTGTAGCCCTGGGTAGAGTGCTGGGGAGTCATAGCTCACAGAAACCTCTTGCCCTGGCTTAAGTGCCATGGCATCATAGCTCACAGCAACCTCAAACTCTTGGGCTCAAGTGACCATCTTGCCTTAGCCTCACAAGTAGCTGGGACTACAGGCACCCGCCACAACACCTGACTAGATTTTCTATTTTTGTAGAGACAGATCTGGTCTTGAACTCCTGACCGCAAGCAATCCACCTGCCTCAGCCTCCCAATAGCTTAGTTGTTTTTAACTTAATAAGAGAGATGTCATGTTGTTTGTCACTTTGGGGGATTTGTTTTCTTTATATCATATGGCTATTATTGATTCATTTGTTTTATTCATTTTAATTGTAAAATATTCCAGTGTGTGACTCTAATACTACATATATATCCACTCTCCTGCCCCTGAACATTTGGGCTGCTTCAAGATCTCTACTGTTGTAAGTGGGTCTGCTATGAACTTGTGTGGAAATTTTACTTAGACATTGAAGCTGAATTCTTGGATCATAGAATATACTAATGTTCAACTTTAGAAAATAATTTCAAATGGGTTTTCAAAATTACACCAATTTACCCCTATAATTTCTTTTTCTTAACTTGGGCTGATTGGCTTTTTTTCTGATTGGATTTGGCCTGCCTGAAATTCAGAGTAAGGGCACTACATTTCAGAGTCAGGCAGCTGTGTGTTGCTGGGCTCCAAGGGGCTCTAGAAATGGGGCAGCCAATCCCTGGACCAGCAGTAATTATGGGCAAGGAGGGAAACCAACTACCTGCGAGGGGAGAACTGAGGAGGTGTGATGAGGTACGCAGACAACAGGTGATGTAACCGGTAAAGGATGAAGGAATGGCACAGATGTCCGCATCCCACGAGACCTGCACCCTGTGCCTATTCTTTGCTCCTATGACGTTGCCCCTTTACAACAATTTTACAATTTTAACTTGCATTTGACATAATTTCAGACCTATAGAAACGTTCTAAGAACGATATAAATAATTCCCACATGTACTTTACCCATACATCCCAAATGTCAATGTTTTACCACATTTATTCTTTATCCTTTTCTATCTCTTTGTAAATATACATTTTGAGGCCTGGCACAATGGCTCACACCTATAATCCTAACATGCTGGGAGGCCGAAGTGGGTGGATGGCTTGAGCTCAGGAGTTTGAGACCAACCTGAGCAAGAGTGAGACCATGTCTCTAGTAAAAATAGAAAAACTAGCCAGGCATGGTGGTGGACACCTGTAGTCCTAGCTGGTAGGACCTGTGGAGTTGTTGCTCTGGAGGCTGAGGCAAGAGGATCACTTGAGCCCAAAAGTTTGAAGTTGCTGTGAGCTATGATACCACGGCACTCTACCCAGGGCAACAGAGTGAGACTCTGCCTCAATAAAGAAGAAAAGTACATTTTTTTCAGCTGTTTGAGAATAAGTTAAAGATACAATACCCTTTTACCCCAAATATATAATAATGCACATTTTCTAGAACAAGCCATTCTCTTACATAACCATATAGAATATCATAATAAAGTGAGCATTGATTCATTACTATCTGATCTACAATCCTTATTCAGAGTTTTCCAGTTGTCCCCATAATTCCTTTTGTCCTCAGCTGTCATGTTTCTTTAATCTGAAATGATTCTTCAGTCTTGTTTTGTGTTGTATGACCCTTTCACATATGAGTATTAGTGGCCAGTTAGTCGTAGAGTACTCCTCAATTTGGACACATCTTCCTCCTGATTAGATGCAGGCTATGCCCCTTAGTCAAGAGTCCTGCTGATACGCTGTTGTATCCTCCTTTATTCTTTTTTTCTTTCTTTTTTTGAGCAGAGTCTCACTTTGTTGCCCTTGGTAGAGCGCTGTGGCATCATAGCTCACAGCAACCTCAAACTCTTAGACTCAAGCAATTCTCTTGCCTCAGCCTCCCAAGTATCTGGGACTACAGATGCCTATCACAATGCCCGGCTATTTTTTAAGATGGGGTCTTGCTCTGGCTCAGGCTGGTCTTGAACCTGTAAGCTCAGGTAAACAACCCACCTCGGCCTCCCAGAGTGCTGGGATTACAGGTGTGAACTACTGCTCCTGGCCTCCCTCCTTGGATCTTCATAGTGAAGGCCATGAGGCCAATTTGTTCCATGACTGCTAACATTAATATTGGTTATCTGATAAAACTGATACCTGTTAGATATTCTCCACTATGAAATTACTATTTTCCCTTAGTAACTAATAAAATAAGCGCTTTCTTCTTTTTAGTTCTTCTAGTTTGAGTGAGTTTCTGCCCTTTCCAAATTATTCATTTTTACATCAATGAACTAATGACTCAATTCAAACTGATTTAAGAGGAGGGGAATTTATAGTTACAACTAACTAAAGACACTGCTGAGAATGACCTAAGTAGGGAGGGGAATTTGTAGTCTGGAAGTAGCTCTGACTTCAGCTGCAGCCAGATCCAGGGGCTTGGTGTAATCAGACATTTGTCTTGTTTGTCAATGTCTATATAAATTAAGATTAAAGAGGACTAGATGCTGGAAAGGCAGAAGTGATAGGTGTCTGCTACATTGTATCAGAAAACTATATAGCAGAGGAGGGAAAGTGGGAGAGAAGAAGAGGAAGAAGATGGAAAAGGAGGAGAGGAAGGTGGAGAAGAAAAAGGAGTGGAAAGTCCATGAAGAGACCAAACCACAGCCTCATTATTTTGGAAAGCCTCACCCAAGCAGTTGCTGGTACTAAACAACCCAGCACCTGGATTAGCAACACATTCCCTGGCCACAATGATTGGTCCAGGTATGGGTATACAGCCCTAGGACTTTACAAAACTATTGACAAACTAGGTACTCTGGCTGCTAAGCTTGCAGGCTATCAGCCGAAAATTATAGGTGGTTATCAAATCTACCTGAGAATGAAGCCAACACATAGAAAAGCAGAGCCAAGAGATACAGAGAGCAGGACCCCTCGTGGCTTTGTTTCAGTACTAGACCCAGCAGTGCCTGAAGCCAACACTACCCCGGAAGCATCAGCTACAAGAGCTGATAAAGTCATTTTCCTGCGTAAGCCAATGTGGCAACAGAATGTGTAGGCTTTGCCTTATAAAGGGAAAAATATACACTTAGAAAAATTCTACTTTTAGGAATGAAATTATCTTTGAACTAAAGGGAAATCATTTAAATCCTAATGTGGTTTTGTATTCAAGTGCTGTGGCACAGAAATTTATTTTATTGATAGTGTGGGCTAAAAAACGACTATATTAACAAACAATTTCACTAAAAAGCTTTGATAATATTATTAATCAACTAGAAGTGGAGGTTTAAAAAAAGATCATCCTTAACTTTAAATGCTTCATTCTTCATAGAAATAGGCAGATTTCTCTGTCATCCTGCTGTTCCATATAAAGAACGAGGATTCTCTTACTGGGCTGGTTTATTATGGAACTTGTTTTTTAAAGTCATTTCTATTGAGGTATAATTCATGTGCAATGAAATGTACCCATCATCTTAAGTGTACAGTTCAATGAGTTTTGACAAATCTATGCATCTGCATTACCATCACCACAATCGTGACATAGAATATCTTCTATCACCTTAAAAAGTTTCTTTCCTGGCCAGTCTCAGTGGCTCACACCTATAATCCCAGCACTCTGGGAGGCTGAGGTGGGTGGATCGCTTGAGCTCAGGAGTTCGAGACCAGCCAGAGCAAGAGTGAGACCCTGTCTCTACTAAAAATGAAACTCTGAGACAAGAGGATCACTTGAGTCCAAGAGTTTGAGGTTGGTGTGAGCTATGACACCATGGCACTCTACAGAGGGCAAAAATGTGAAACTCTGTCTCAAAAAAAAAAAATGTTTCTTTTCCCTCTCATGGCCCCAGGGAACCACTGATCTGCTCCGTGTCACCATAGATTAGTTTTGCCTGTTGTAGAATTTCTATAAATGAAAGCATACAGTATCTATTCTTTTGCATCTAGCTTCTTTTAATAGGCTACTTTCTGTAGAGTCTACTGATCATAGTTTATACATTATGTTTTAGATAACTGGAAAATAATAAAACAAGAATATATAGAACATAATAATGGTTCATAAATTCCACTTATTAGCATTTCAGATTTAACTGAACTCAAAATAATGGAGTTTTTAATTTGTCTTTTCCCATATCTAAAAAGCATACTTCACAAGCATACAAACCCTCAGAGTATCTCTTCATTTTTGAGATGTGACTTACAATCCACTCTCTTTGGAGAAGCTTAGTTTCCAAAGCCAACTCTAGGAGGAGCCTTGTGTATACTGTGACATCAGCTTGAATCATCTGCTGTCACCTACACATCCCTCTGTGTCCTGTTCTGGAAAAGGCCAGTGCCTTCGGTATCTTATGAAGCTCACTGAAGAAGCTCAGCCCAGGATGGGTAGAAAAGGACCGCTGAAGAATTAGATCCTGTGTGCGCAGGAAAAGGCCGTTGAGCAGGCTCTCACACCAGATGTCCCCTGAGCTCAAAGGGTAGAGAATCAGGTTCCACAGTGTCCACGTCTCCTGCCACCTGATCATAGATTCCTCTTGGATCCTCATACTTCTCCTCAGGCCAGCGGAGGTCACTGGAGCCCTGGTCAGCAAAAAATGAAGTTAAGAACCAGGGAGAGATGCCTTGTGGGACTAATCGAAGATCTGGGCGACACATAGCCTGGCTCAACTTCCCAGAAAATAAGTTTTAGATTTTGGTGATGGGAAAAACCCAACATATGCAAAGAAGAAAGCAATGATAATGAACTCCCATCACGAACCCCGATGTACTCACTACCGAACTTCAACAACATCGGTCCTTGGTTAATTGATATATCTGTGTCCCTAGCTTCTCATCCCCCACCCCGCCAACTGGATTATTTTGAATCAAGTTCAAGATATCCCATGATTTCATTGCAGGAAATGAGTTTTAGAAATATGAAACCTTTAAAAGTCCTTGATATCAGCCATGGTAATTGTAGAATGTGAGTCATGATTCTGTTAGTACTATGAATTTCCAAAGCATTACTCCCCTCAAAATAGAAGAGAAAAAAGATCGTGACGTCCTTACTAGGGATGTACTTTGTCCTAGAGCTAGGAGAAATTGGTTGTTTTAGCTTGGCAAGCTTTAGAGCAGATTGGCCCATGATTCAAATACAGCTGCCACCTGTTTGTGTACTTACTGCCCAATGGCTAAGAATGGTTTTACATTTTTAAATCGTTGGGAAAAAAATCAAAAGGATGATATTGGTGACATAGGCAAATCCTATGAAAGTCAGATTTCAGTGTCCAAAAATAAAGTTTTATTGAAACATAGCCACACTTGCTCATTTATTTATCATCTTTGGATGCTTTCACCCTACAGTGGCAGTGTTGAGTAGTTTTTCTTTTTCTTTTTAATTTTTAATTATTATGGATACATAATAGTTGTACAGTTTTGAGGAAGACTGCATGTCACACAAAGCCCAAAATATTTACTATCTGGCCTTCACAGAAAAAGTCTGCAGACGCCATCTGTGCTTAGAGGGCACATATGGTCCAGCACCATGGACAGCGTTGTGCACATTCTTTCCTTGCGGGTGGAGAGCTTCCATCTGAGAACAGTGCTCCATATGGGGTCTCGTTAGGAAGGGAAATCCTTGGCCCAGAAGTGCCAGAGCATTGGCCAACACACAGAAAGTCAAGGGTTCTGTCCCACCTCCCTCACTGTGCGACAGGGTGCGGGTGGGGGACTAGTGGTCAAAGCGCCTGTCATTTTTGCCTGACCAGTCACTATTTCCACTTTCCTCTGGGTTCAATGCCCCTCTCCCACGCTCAAGCCAGTGATTTGAGTAGGACTGGCCCCTATTCCCTGATTCCATGGTGGGCACTGACCCAAGCCTGTCCAGTTAGCTATTCTATCCCCTGTCTCACTGGTTCAGCAATGAGAACGTGACCCAAGCTAGGTCAGTAAGTGTCAGCACTGGGCATTTGGAGCTATTGGAAAAGAGGCATTCTCTTTCCCTGAAGATTCCTATTCTAATAAGATACAAACCTACATTTGCTTGGGACATTTTTAGAGAGGAAATTCTGAGTCCATCTGGGCCTGAAGACAATTTTGTCCCTGACTTTTCAATAGAGTAGGACAAAAAATTCTTTCTTTCTGCTTAACCAGCATAGTGGAGATGATTAATTATCCAAGGACATGCACTTCCTTCTTCAGCAGTAATGGAATTGTAGTGAGGCCAAGCTAGACATCTCACAGCCTCCTTTGCAGCTTGGTGTAACCATGTGACCATGTCCTCACCAGTGAAATAGGAGCAGAATGGACCCATTTCTGGTCCTGGGTTATAAGGTAGGGTCATGCCACCACCACACTCTCTTTGTCCCTTTCCCACAGGCTGAAACCCCCACTGAACTGGCCCATCTGTGCAGACTTGGATGACATGCTAAGAGACAGCAGAGGAACACAATGGAAAGAACTAGGTTTTAGAATAGCCACATCCAGCTGGGCCACTCACCTATGACCATGAGAAAGAAACAGACTGTCTTCTTTAGGCCACTGGATTATGGCCAGGCCTCTTTGTCACAGCAGCTATCTTACCCTAACTATTACAAGGCATAGGAAGTGGCCTGCCAGGACTGACCAGGAAAGACTTCTGTTGACACAAATTTCCTCACCGTATGCACTTCATCATAGAGGGGTCCCCAGGTCCCTGGTGGGATGTACATTCTTTCCACCTCATCATACAGGTGCCCAGGAAAGGCCATATCCTGATCTTCAAGACCTGTGAAGCCTGGAGTTGGAGTGGAAGGACAGGAAGGTAAAGCACCCAGGTCTAGATGTCGGGGGTATCTCTGAGTAGGGGGAATCCTGGTGTGGCCATGACTCACCCTGGGAATAAGACACCTCCTCGAGCATGGGGGGCAGCTGGGGGATGAAGTCTCTCATGGAGTGGTAATATGGCTCCACTTCTGTTGTGCTAACCTGTCACACACATGCACACACAAACAGACACAGTCCTCTCCATCCTCTGACTCCACAGTTTCTGGATAGGGCAATGACTAGCCTGAAGCCAACAGTGGCATTTTAGTCGCTGTCAGTGCCCTGTCAGGGGCGCTGTCCGGTCCACCCTACCCACCCTACTCACTGTGGAGCTTTGCGTGTCCCGATCTCCAGTCCACTGGCTCTCCTCATATTCGTTCCTGGCTCGGTCCTCCTCCGACCTTCCAGGATAGAGGTGTGGAGAGCAGCTGGGTGTTGACCCTCTGCCACCTGTCACCCCAAAACCTCCTCCCTCGAAGCCTTCTTTACAGAAAAATATCCCCACTTACCCTGTGTCTGTCTTGTCTGAGAGACCTGAGGGAAACAGAGAGGGGTCAGAGGCCCCTGAGGGGGGCCCTGCAGTATATAGAAACTCCAGAGGTCCCCACCGCCCTTGCATCACCATCCTCTCAGGGGGACGGTCTCTCCTCACCCTTGGCAAGATGCTTCATTCTCTGCTGCCAGAGGAATCCCCCAACACAGGAGGCATTGGAAAGCAGCAGAAGACCCCCGACAGCAAACAGCACGGGCAGCAGGGGCAGCCCTGAGGGTCCTGGGGGAAGAAGGTACATCTCAGTGAGCCCAAAACAATTGGCTCTAAGCCCAGAGCGGGACTTTCTGAGAAAGCCTGTCCCTGACCAAGCACAGCCCCTTCCAGGATCAGAGAAGCAGATGGGCAGGGATCCCACTCCCTGCCCCTTCTTGCCATCCAAGGGCAGGTGGCTCCATTCTCAAATCAAGCCATTAGCTGCGGGTCCTACCTTTGCCTGAACCCTGTCTGTGGACTCAGGAGGGAGCTTCACCTTCTTAGCTGATCCTTTAAGACCTCTGTCATCTAGCCTCTTCCCACATCTCCATCTTTTGTCCATCAACCATAGACCCTGGTATTAGACCTTAAAGCCCACACACAAAAGCCATTGGCTGTTTCCAGAATCACTGAATCAAATTTACACCTGTGAACTTTGAGACAGTCAAGTGTCTGCCTTCAAATGTCCTTTCTACTCAAGCAAACTTATTTTCATCCTTCAAATTCCATCTCAAATGACTTCTTTCCTCTCATTCCATCTCAGCCAGTATCAGGCTGACTCCTCTGCTATATCCTTGAAGACAAGGTTGAACCCCTCTAAGTAAACATCTCTTGGTGCCCACTTCATCTTCTACTAAGAGTACTTTGTCCCTTTTGGGGAAACAGTCACTCCCTGGCTCTCAGCCTACAGGGCTCAGCCAAGACTCCATGAAGTCACATGGCCCAGCCTGAGTGATAAGAGCTCCCCTCCCCTTTCCACAGTGATTGTTTCAGAGACAAGTACTTGATTTAAGGTGGCTTTTTTTGCCAGAACATTCAGGATAATTCTGCTGGCTGCCAAAAAGTGAAACCAAAGATGAGGTAGTGGTAGTGATCGGGTATGGGCTCCAGCTAGGGCAAGGGACTAGGGCTAGAAATTAGGGATTGGCTACAGTTGGGGTTAAGGCTAAGGATTAGGGCTAGTGATTAGGGATGGGTTACAACTGGGGCTAGGTCTCAGTGATTAGGGATGGGTTACAACTGGGGCTAGGTCTAGGATGTGGGCTAGAAATGAAGGATTGGCTACAGCTGTGGTTAGGGCTGGGGATTAGGGCCAGTGATTAGAGATGGGCTACAGCTGGGGCTAGGCTAGGATGTGGGTTCTAGCTATAGTTAGGTCTTAGGGCTACAAATTAGGGATTGGCTACAGCTGGGGTTAAGGCTAGGCATTAAGTGATTAGGGATGGGCTATAGCTGGGGCTAAGCTGCTTGCCATGTTAATGGAAGAACCTGGAAAGGAAGCCACCAAAGATGCTTGTAAAGTCAAGAAAGGGTGAGAAACCAATAGCTGGTGAAACTTTTGAGCACCTGCATCCTGCCACACTTAGAATTTTCAATTTCATGAGCCCAGAAATTCATTCAGTGCAGACAACAGCAGGATTTCTGTTGCTTGCAACTTTCTTCTCAGGCTCTGAATGGGACTATTTGACAAACGGTTATAATCCCTTCTTTGTCATATCCACACTCTTAAGCAGTCCATTTTCTCTTCATTGAGCCTTGTGACTTCTGGCAAAAGGGACAAAAGCAACTATGACAGAATCAGAAACTTGCAAAATGCTAGTAAATAGGAATTTTCCCTCTCTTGCTGCTGAGACCCCTGTGACTACCTCCATGTAAAAGAACTACATGGCCTAGTTATCTCTATGGTCCCAACTGAGAGCCAGAAGACTGCTGGACATGTGAGGAGGCAGCCACCCTAGACCAGGCTGCCAGACTGTAAAGATGATTCAGGTCAGCCTGAGCCCAGAACTATTCAGCCACACTCATAACTCATAGACTCATAGACTCATGAGAAATAAGTACATTGCTATAAGCATCCATGTTTGGAGTGGCTTGTTATGTGGCAAAAGTGAATGGATACAGTCTCCTTACAGGGCATCAAGCTAACTAATTCTTTCAGAATTAAACTGAATCAGGAAAATGTATCACTCCAGGCAGGAGGAAGGGCTAAGGAAGAAGACAGAAGGGAGTTTGCTAAGTAAGTCTTAAGGGACTGTGACTACAAAACAGAGAGGTTGGGGTCAGAGATCCCAGGGCCTCATATCTGCATTTCCATTCTCAGGAAAGTGGGGGGATGCAGGGGATTGAGGACTTGCCTGCGGGCTCCTCTGTGGGCAACTGGACATCAGATTCTCCAGACGTCGGGTCCAGGCCTGAGGGGTGGATATAGACATTGTAAATTAACAAGAATCTGAGATAAGCCTTAAATATTTCTTTCCTCAAATATTTCTCAGCCACAAATATTTCTGAGTCTCTTGTTAAGCTTTTCAGACTCAAGAGAACCAGCATACAGCTTCTTAAGGCTATTTCAAAGAGACTGGAAACTGCCAATAATAATGACAATACTATTAATAGCAATTCTTATGCTAATAACTATAATAATTAATTATTCATAAGTGCTTTATGGTGTGGAAGGTTCTTTTCACCTGAATTGTCAATTTTTTTTTTGAGACCGAGTCTCACTATGTTGCCCTTGGTAGAGTGCTGTGGCATCACAACTCACAGCAACCTCAAACTCTTGAGCCTAAGTGATTCTCTTGCCTCAGCCTCCCAAGTAGCTGGGACTACAGATGCCCGCCACAATATCCAGCTATTTTTTAGTTACAGTTGTCATTGCTGTTTAGCAGGCCTTGGCTGGGTTTGAATCCGCCACCCTTGGTGTATGTGGCTGGTGCTATAACCACTGTGTTACGGACACTGACCAGCCCTGGGCTCTTTCTAAGCACTTTATTTTTATTTATTTATTTATTTATTTTTTGTAGAGACAGAGTCTCACTTATCACCCTCGGTAGAGTGCTGTGGCATCACACAGATCACAGCAACTTCCAACTCCTGGGTTTAGGTGATTCTCTTGCCTTAGCCTCCTGAGTAGCTGGGACCACAGGTGCCTGCCACAATGCCCGGCTATTTTTTTGTTGCAGTTTGGCTGGGGCTGGGTTTGAACCCACCACCCTCAGTATATGGGGCCGGTGCCCTACTCACTGAGCCACAGGCACTACCCTTTCTAAGCACTTTAGATATGTTAATTTATTCAGTCCTCACAACTGTGTGAGACAGACCTTACTTTCAGAAACTATACACAAAGATCTGTAACATACCTTGATTTTAGAAACTGAACTAGCCTAAGGTCACACAATAGGAAGTGACAGAGGGGGAACATTGAGCCTGAACCAGGCTCTGTGGGATTAAACACCATCCTATAGTGTCTATCAGAATCACAGCATACTCATTAGTTACACTTAAGGAATTTATCCATTTCTTTTTTTTTTTTTTTGAGACAGAGTTTCACTTTGTCTCCCTCCATAGAGTGCCCTGGTGTCACAGTTCACAGCAACCTCAAACTCTTGGGCTTAAGCGATTCTCTTGCCTCAGCCTCCCGAGTATACAACGCTTGGCTATTTTTAGGGATGGGGCCTCACTCTTGTGCAGGCTGGTGTCAAATCTGTGAGCTCAGGCAGTCCACCCGCCTTGGCCTCCCAGAGTGCTAGGATTACAGGCGTGAGCCACCCCACACATGGTTCAAACCACTTTTTAATTTCCCTTGGTCATTAATCACAGACATTGTAGCTTAGAAACAAAAGGCTCATCTCTGGATTTCATCTACCTGCATTTTGATCTCATTTTTTACCTCTTCCTAGCTGTGTGACCCTAGACAATTTGTTTAACTGCTCTGGACCTTGATTTCTTCATCTGTAAAAGGAGAATAATAATAGTATCCACTTCACTATACCATTCTATAATTCCTCTGAGAAACAGTCCAACCTGCCCGAGACTATTCTTTCCTACCTGGGGTAGTGATGGGGAGCTGGGCCCCCTTGTCAGCCAGGCCACTGTCTCCCAGGGCATTGCTGGCCAGCAGCCAGACCCTGTATCGGGTAGAAGGCTGTAGCCCAGTCAGTGTGAAGGTGGTGGCCTGAGGTGGTAGGACATCCACGTAGTGGAACCCTGGAGTCTCCAGGGCCTCATATCTGCATTACAGGGAGGAAAGTCAGTTCACAACAGTGTCTCAGCCCCATTTGCTGCCACATTTTCCTGCCTCGAAAGGCACCCACCTGATTCGGAAACTCTGTGGCAAGCCCCCATCAAAGCCAGGTTTCCACTCCAGCCCCACCGAGTGTGGGGTCATGCTCACAATCTTTAATCCCAACGGAGGGTCAGGGCGGCCTATGGGGAAAAGAATGGGGGAAGTAGAAGATATAAAAACATTCTAGAAGATTCCTTCCAGGTTTTTCATAAAAATGATTTTAAATATGCAGTCAATTATCATTACTCATGGTAGTCACGTTCTATAAAGTCACCGTGAACACTGAATTAGCAAACACCAAACTCTTGCTTCTAGGGGAAATACAAGATTAAGTTTCTTCAAACCTCTCAGCACAGCATTTTCACCAATCAGCCAATATATGATCTTGTTTTACGTGTACTTCTGATTCAAGACACTGGCATATTACATACTGTTGATTCATTAACATTGAACTCATGGCCAACAGCACTATAACTCACGCCTGAACAAAGCTTATCCAACACAAGTTATTTTCTCTGTAACATACATCACAGCTTAGGAACACCAAAGAGCATTTCAGCACTGTGATTGGGGGCCAATTTAAACAGCAAAATCCCTAACATAAAGCACAAGAAATGCAAACATCATACACTAAATAAGCCACAAAAAAGGATGCATTTACAGTATGAGAGCTGAAACAAGAAGGCAGAGTGTGGCTTTCTTCAATCTTAGCTAAGAACATGTACATCAGGTGACTAACATTTTTTGCTACTGTGCATGTCCTAAAATGACGGCAAAAGCACCATGAGTGTTTTGTTTTGTTTTGTTTTGTTTTGTTTGTTTTGAGACAAAAGTTACTCTGTCGCCCTGGGCAGAGTGCCATGGCATTATAGCTCACAGCAACCTCAAACTCTTGGGTTTGAGCAATCCTCTTGCTTCAGCTGCAGGAGTAGCTGCGACTACAGGTGTCCGCCACAATGCCCAGCTAGTTTTTCTATTTTTAGTGGTGATCGGGTCTCGCTCTTGGTCAGGCTGGTCTCCAACTTCTGAGCTCAAGCAGTTAACCCATCTCAACCTCCCAGAGTGCTAGGATTATAGGCATGAGTCGCCACGCCTGGCCACACCATGAGAACTGATTTTGATATTACAAATAAATTTTAGCAAGTACATGAATTTTCAAATGATGAGGACTGACTGCAAATAATGACGATACATGCGTGTGTATACCCACACATATGTGTTCCTCGGAGTGGATGTTTGGGCCAATCTCACATCCACTCCTCTCATTTCTTCTGGCTTCAACACCCTATATTTCTTTTGCATATCCACCAGCTCACATTCTCAGACCACACCCTTCTGACTCTATTCCTACCTAGCAGGAGGGACATGTGACCAGATCTGGCCAATTAGAGCTTACCTTCCCTTGGCTACCTGATTGGTTCAGAGATGAGCTGGAAGCCAAATAGAGCCAATGAAATATAATTCTAGTATTTTTTTTTTCTTTTCAAAGTCTTTTTAATGTTTCAATTTAAGAAGAGTTAAGCAGCTCCCTGGTGCCTATTCACCCCTAAGCAATTACCACGAAACTTTAAAGGAATAGTGTCAAAAAATTTTTACTGATCTACTTCTCTTTGGCCTAAGAAGTCTTTTCAGCTCAAGGCAGGGATAGCATGTGGCTAATTCTAGTATTCTCATTCCACTATCAGAAAGAGAAAGAATTCTATTTCCTCTGCAAATTCTAACAGAACATTCTGAGGAGCCTTAGAATAAAGCCAACACAGAGAGAACTAGGAGATGGAGAGTTCTTTCTTTTCTTTTCTTTTTTCTTTTAGACAGAGACTCTCTCTATCACCTGGATAGAGTGCAGTGCCATCAGCCTAGCTCACAGCCACCTCAAACTCCTAGGCTCAAGCAATCCTCCTGCTTCAGACTCCTGAGTAGCTGAGACGACAGACACGTGCTACAGCAACTGGCTAATTTTTCTATTTTTAGTAGCAACAGTATCTCCCTCTTGCTCAGGCTAGTCTCAAACTCCTGAGCTAAGTGATTCTGAAATAGAGAATTCTTAATAATAGCTGAGCCTAGATCCAGCAACTCCTGAAAATCTACTTTCCAGTTACCTGAATCAGTCAATAAGTATCCCCCCATCTTATTTTTCTTTCCCTTGTTGTGGGTTTCCCTGAAGATCCAATCTCCATTAGGGTTTTCAGGGTAAGGCATAATAAACTCCTCACATGAACAGTTTCTCAGGTTTCAGGGACACTGGCAATCTGGGGCCAACCAGGGACTTGGGAGTAGACCCAGGCAGCAAACCTCCGCCACCCCACAATACCCTCAGAGACCCCTCCCACCATACTGATGCTGACGAGTTGAATGTTGGTGTGGTCTGAGCCGAGGGGGTTGGTGGCTGTGCACGTGAAGAGGGCATAATCCTGGGCTGCAGACACATTGGCGATGGTCAGGAGACTGCTGTGGACTCCACCCTGGTGGTATGTGTGTTCTGTGTACCTGGACAGAGGGTGGGGCAGGGACTCAGGGAGGCGAACTGGGGTGGGAATCCAGAATTGGGCCTGGAGTGCTACCTGGCTTGGCCTGGACTCACCTGGGATCCTGGAGATCCAGAGGGACCCCATTTTTGGTCCAGGTGAAGACAATGTTGGGGACGCCTCGGGCACGGCAATGAAGTGTGGCAGAACTGGTGCTGTCTCCTGCTGCAGCTACTTTAGTTAGAGGAGTGGGATGGTCCACCTGGGGGGCAACTAGCAGGGGGTGGGACATTAACATGAGGTATGTGGGAGGACATGAGAGCTGTGGGCATAGTGGCAGGCCTTGAAGTCAGGTGTTTAGGTGTTACCCACATCTGACAACAAGACGGACGAGCCCTCGGGCTGGAGGTGCCACCCCATTGTCCACGATGCACTGGTAAGCTCCAGCCTGGGCCAGTTTGGCATGTTGAATCCGTAGACGCCCTGTGGCCCCCTTTGATATCTTCTCCATGTCATCCAGACTCTGGTCCTCCTCCTCTTCCCCCTGGATGCCCAGGACTCAGGAGTTGGCCCTCTAATCTAGACCCAGATCCATCATTCCCCAAACTGTGTTCCTTTCGTAGTCTCATCCTCCCAGCACAATCGCCCTCCACAAAGTTACCAAAGACGAATTTCTCCTGTCATCCATCTATCCATTTATCCAATCCATCCATTCATCCACCAGTCCAAGCAACCACTTACTCATCCAGTTATCCAACCACTCATGCTTGAAGCTATTCATCAATCCATCAATTCATCCATTCATTTAACCATCCACCTATATGTACGTTCATCCATTTATCCATTCATCTACCCATCCATTCACCCACTCATTCATCCAACCATTTGTCTTCCTTCTATGCACCCATCTATCCACCTTTGTAACTCTCCACCCATTCATCCCACGTATTTACTCATGTATGCACACACATAGATACATATACCTATTCAGCCACCTAGTTTATCCATCTCTCCTTTGCTCTGTCCACCCATCCATACATCCATCCATCAATTCATCCACTATCCTTCCACAGACTGTATCTCTCCACTAATAGTGTATCCTTCCAGCCATCTACTCTCTAATCCATCTGTCCACTCATTTCTCTCTTCAATCATCTAGACACCCAGACATCCATTTATCCATTCTTTCATTTATCCATCTGTTCTTCCAGCCACTCACTCATCCATCTACCTGTTTATCCACCCACCTACCTATTGACCCATCTATCCACCCACCCACCCACTCACCTGGCTATCTATCCACTCATCTGGCTATCACTCACCCACCCACTCACCTGGCTATCATCCACTAATAACCATTTGTTGAGTAGCAAATGGTTATTAGTTTCTGGGGCATTCCGTGACAAGTACATAGGTATACAGGATCATATACATGTTGTTGCCACTGGCAAGGAGGTCACAGTCAAGAAATCACACCCCCCAACCCCACCTCCATTCACCAAAAGTTGGGTCCTCACCAGCCTCTCCCAGTTGAACATCCCTGGGAGGATGGGATTGGCATCAACGGTGCAGATTATGTCCACAGAACCCCCAACATTCACCTCAGTGGGGTCCGGGAGGGCGCGGATGGTGGGAGCATCTGGTGGGAGGCAGGGGCTTGGGGAAGGCATTTGGGCCCAGACAGGCCATGGTAGGAGAGGGCTCCAAAGGAGCTGGGGGGAGGTAGTGTCTTAGAGGTGTCCAGGAAAGTGTGAATACAGCCTGCCCTTTAATTGGGAGCACTTGGAGGACGGTGCTCAGGGTTAGAGTGGTTGTCCCCACCCTCTACTATGCCTCAGTGATAATTTTAGTAGGTTGAGCCGGCTTCCAGATTTGTGGGGGTGGAGTTTCCACAGTGGGCTTGGCTTCCAGATGGGAGCAGCTCCCATGTAGGTGGGCCCCCTTTCTGGGCAGAGATTCCACATTGGGTCTCTAGCGGGAGGGATTCCACAGTGGACATGGTTACATCACAATTGGGGCTTCCAGAAATTGTGGATATCCCTGGGTGGGTGGAGCTTCCACACTAAGGAGACTCTACAATGGGGGAGGTCTTTTAGGGGGGTGCGGTTTCCAGGGCGGGCGGGGCTCCCAGAGCTCTTGGGTTTCCTAGAATGCTGAGAGGGGCTCACAGTGCACGTCCAGACGCACTAGCGCTTCAGCTGTGCCCTCCGAGTTCTGGCAGTGAAGTTGATAGAAGCCATCGTCGGCACGGGTCACATTCCACAGCTGCAGAGCCCCGCCAGACAGGATGCGATGCCGGGGGCCGCCAGCTGGGGAAGAATAGGGTAAGGGACTTCGGGCAGTCCCTCCCATCCCGGAGACCTCTACCCCTCTCCATACCCACGTCCCGCACCTGGACTGAGGCGATAGCCGCGGAATGTCCAGTTGAAGGCCTCGGGGGCGGGGTTAGCGGACACTGACACCGGCAGCAGTGCCTCGCCTTGCTCTACCGCTGTCACCACGAGCACCTGCTCCCCGAGGAACTCTGGAGGGTCTTCCAAGGGGGAAGGGTACCGCAGAGAGTCAGGATTGTTGGTAAGGTAGAGGTCAGGGACAGTTTTGAGATCAGACAAAGGTTCAAGGGTTAAAGTTAGGGTCACAATTAGGTCTGAAGTTATGGACAAGGTAACATTGAAGATAGAAGTTAGGACTCCGTTCAGGAAAAGGGTAGAGACCAAGGTCAAGTTTAAGAATGAAGAGAGGAGTCAGGACAAAGTTCAGGAGTCAGGATAGAGGACAAAGGCAGGATGCGGGTTGGACAGGTTAGGAGTTGGTGCAGGACCAGAGGAGGGGTCAGGATAAAGGTCAGGAAAGTTTCAGATTTCAGGACTGGGGTCCAGGACAGTGTCAGAGTGAAGAACTGAGACGTTTAGGGAGTTTAGCGTCAGGACGGGTTCCAGGCCGGGGTACATACACAGCACGTTGAGGCGGTAGGAGGAGCTCACGGTTTCGCGGAGCTCAGCGCTGTGGGCGCGGCAGGTCATGCGGTGGCCATGGTCGCGGGATGATACTCGCATTAGGACGCTCCTGGCCGCGGCGGAGCCTTTGAACGGGGCACTTCGGGGAGGGGCTGTCACACCTTCCAGCCTGTGGACCCAGCAGGGGGTAGTGGGGCAGGCTAGGGCTGATGCAGGGGTGGGACCAGAGCAAGAGGGGGAGTACTACTAGGCAGGATGGGGGCGGGACAAGTGGCCAGACCAAAGAGGGCCGTGGCCAGACCAAAGAGGGCCGGCCTCTGCGCGCTCTCACCTCTCCCCTTCCTTGTCCCAGGACAAGTTGACTGGCGGGTTGCTGCTAATGCTGACGCACGTCAAGTTTAAAGCGTCCCCCGGGCGCAGCGCCGACGCGTTGGCCAGGATTGTCAAGTTAGTTGGCGGAACTTAGTGGGTTGGAGGAGCAAGTTTCAGAGGGAAGGGGGCGGCCTGGGTCTGCTGCAGCCCCGCCTAGGCCCCAGGCCCCGCCCAGCCTCGTGTCCTCTGAGGGGTCTCGCCCGAGTTCTGGCTTCCCGGAATCCCTGCTTCCGCCCGGCTCCGGCTCCTTCCCCCGCGCCCCCCAAGCCCTGCCATCCACCCGGGCCGCGCACGCTCCCTCACACTGCACGATGAGCTTCGTGGACGCGCTGAGCTGGCCCGCCTTGCACGTGAACTTGGCCTGGTTGTCCGACGGACCTGTGACCAGCACCAGCTCACGCGAGAAGGTGCTCCCAGACTTCTCCACACTTCCTAGCTGCACCCGCCGCGGCTCCTGGGGCAGCCGCGACTCGCTCACAGTGCGCGAATCCTGAGGGCCGGGAATCACTGGGGAACCGGTAGCCCGACACCTTCCCACCCAGCCCGGAGACGGCCGCGTTCTTAGTCGCCTTCAGCCCAGACCTTTCTGTGAAAAGGTGCCCTATAGGCGGGCACCCGACTAGAACGATGGAGTCGGGAGCACAATTGATTATTCCCCCACCCCACCCTGCCCGCCTCGCGATCTCCCCCGCCTCCCCGCCACCTGCAGACCTTCGACCCCACTCCTCAAAATCCGTAAAGTCCTACTATACGTATTTACCAAACGCCATCTGCCAGGAAACTCCCTTGAAATTCTCAAGCCTTTCCCAGAATTCCCTCGTGTTTTCCTATCCTCTCTTCTTTTTCTTAAAATTCCCACTTTCCCCTAAAGATTTCCTTTGACCTTTCCCTTAATTCTAGTGACTTTTCATAGATTTCTGAATCTTCCCCGATATTCTCTTAGGATTCTAATCTTTAACTGGGTTCCTTTATATTGCCAAAATTCTTGGCATTTTCCCCAGTATTCCATCCAATTAAAATGTAATTCCATTGTCATTTCTGTGCTCTCTAACTTCCCAGGATTTTTCCAGAATTCTGTCAGAATTTCTTTTCATTTTATTGGAATTTCATTTACTTACCTCCAAATCCCAAGAATTCACCTTAATATTAATGAATTTTTAATGTTCTGTGGAATTGCTAGTCTTTCTCCAAAATTGTTAGCTTTTGCTCAGAATATCATTCTTTTTTTCCTGGAATTTCTAGTCTTTCCCTAAAATTCCTGATACAGCACCTGAATTCTTAGATTTTCACCAGAATTTCCTCTAATTTTAATGGAATGAATTACCTTTACTCTAGAATTCCCAATCTGGATGCTGAATTTCAATTTTTATCCTAGAATTCTCAGTTTTCCCAAAATTCCCAGAATATTCCTAGGATTCCATTTAATTCTCATGGCATTTGTGTCCTTTCTGATTTTCTGCCAAAACTCAGAAATCTCCAGTATTTTTCAAGAAATTCAGGTTTTTATCCAAGATTTCCCAAGATTCTGAAGGAGAGAGAAGGGGTCTTGTCCTTCTCCCACATTCCTGGCCACCCCACTGCCCTTGCTTGGCACCAACCTTGTACCAGGTGAGGGAGGGCTCTGGGTTGCCCCCGATAGCCAAACACATCAGCCTCACCCGGGTCCCAGCCCGGTGACTATGCCCCTCTGGGGGTCCCTCAATCCATAGCTTCTGGGCGGGATCTGGGGGGAGAGGCAGGAAGAGTGACATTTTTCTCTGAGATGGATCCTGAAGGCTGTTTCTCTGAGGTCTGGGATCATTTCTGGGCCAGGCCAGGCTCACATTTCACATTCAGGGTAAGTGACTTCTTGAAGGTCTCCTTGGTGAAGGCCTCGCTGAAGGCCTCACATGTGAGTGTCAGACCATTGTCCTCCCGCCGCACCAGGAACGTCAGATTGGACATGGTGATGTGGCCGCCATGCAGGCCCTGGCGAGAAGTGAGCTTCAGACTTGGGGACTAGAGCCCCTTCCTCTATGGTGCCAGAGGCCTGGTCCACTCATGTCCCAGCATCTCCATGCCCTCCTCTATGAAACCCAGGAGTCTGGGGCACCAGTCTGAGCTCCTTGAGGCCCAAATTCTCTAGGCTGCCAGACCCCTCCCCTCCCAGCTCCACCAGCTGTGCCCTCTCCTCCCTCCTTGCTCAGCCCAGGAGCCTGGGCCCCGCCTCACATCCATGACTATCTCCTCCGTAGGCAGAAGCTGCCGCCAGCCCAGCCACCATCGCAGCAAGACTCGTGGGCGACTGGACTTGGTGACACAAGAGAGCGTCATATTCTTGTTCTCAGACTGGGATGTAGATCCCAGGATAGTAATGGCACTGGGGGGAACTGCAGGGACAAATGGACAGAGGGAAGATGAGGCCAGGATGGATTCCTACTGGACCAGCTCAGACAAGTGACAGGGAATGTGACGAGGTCTTTGGCATCAAACAGGCATAATTTGGGGGCACAAACAGATGGTTCTCTGGGGCATGGACTGACAGATGGGCAGCTGGCACCAGGACTCACAGGAGACCTGCAGCGTGATGCTGTGTTCCTGGATCCCTGTAGACACGCTGTTGTGTGCCTCACAGCTGAGGCGCACTCCATGGTCTTCTGGCTTCACAATCATCACCAGTACACTGCGGGCCACTGCCTGGGTATGCTCTGTACCCCATGCTGTGGACATGGGCTGGCCATTCTGGAGACAGGGACAGGCGTGGGCCAGCTCAGGGCCAGCTCCTGCCCCTACCCTCCTCCAACCCCCATGCTTTCCTTTGCCCTCACCTTCAACCACTGCAACGTGGCTAAGGGATTTCCCCCTCGGGCCACACACGGCAGCTCCAAGCTCTGCCCAGCCCGAACATGCCCCTCATCCAGGCCTGGCCACTCGATGGCAGGGGCTCCTGGGGGGACTAGGGAGCAGCAGTCATTCAGTGGGCCTGGGGAACCCAATCCACTATTTCCAAACTCCATAACCTGCCTCTGAACTCCCATGTTTCTCTTTTGAGTGCCTGGATTCTCCATGAATTAGGGGTCCTGTGATACACCAGGACCCCTAAATCCTGCTCCCCATCTTCAGTGCCCATAACTGGCTCTGTTCTCCACTTACACAGAACATTCATGGTGATTGAGGCCTTGATGGGGGTGTCCAAAGCTGGGCTGGACCCCTCACAGACCAGCAACTGCCCATTATCTGAGCTCTGGGGTATCACCCTGGAATGGGAAGTTGGGATTCTGGAGTCAGAGACGTCATCTGAAATTTGGTGATTCAGGGTGGAACGGTGGGAATTCCAGATCCTTACACCCGGTCTAAGTTCTTATCCTGATTTCCTCTGGGATCTTATTTCCATGGGAGAGATTTGTGGGATCAGTAGTGAAAATTGGGGCCCCAGAGGCCCTCTCCTGGCCAAAATCTTTGAGCTTGATGCTCTGGAACAGAGGTTCCCATGAAGAAGTTTTAAGGGTCCCGTTCAGGAATTGGGTCTCAAATAGTCATACATACTCTGAATTTCTTTTCTTGAGTCCCTATGAGTCTTATGTGAGGAAATTTGGGGGTCAGGGTGAGGAGGGGTGTCCCAATTTCCAAACCTGGCTGTGGCTTCTGTGGTGAAGAGTTTCTCCTGGGACCCTTCATTCACATTAGCAGAGATGCCAGATATGGTTTGTCCACCTTGGGGCAACAAGAGGGCAGGAGGGGTACCAAGTTTCCCCAAGGTAGCTTCTGGGGAGCATGGCCTGTGGGTCCTCAGGGTAGACACAATGATGACCCCTCCCTCCTGGGCACCAGCTCCATCCCATCTGCATGTTCAGGACTCCCTGAATGCTGGAGTCCTCAGGGCTGGTGGTCCCCTCACCTCCTTGATGGGTTGTATCAAGTACCCCATCACCCCAGCTTATCATTTCTGCACCACTGGCATCTGAGCCTCAGCCTTGCCCCTGAGTCCTGGGCCAGCAGTCCTGCAGTCTCCTTGATGCCTCCCCAGGGATGTGCCCTCCCAGGTCCCAACTGGTCTCACCAATTCACCCATACTCACTCTGGAGAAAAGTGATGTCAGGTGCTGGCTTTGCATCTCCAGATACACAGGAGACCTCATACTCTTGCCCAGCTACCCAGGTGACTGTGCTCCCTGCTTCTGGGGTCAGCTGAAGTACCTTGGGAGGAACTGGTGAGAAAGAGTCTGGGATAAGCCTGCACTCCCAAGGAGGATATGAGAATTTGGCCTATGAGTCTCTTTGCATGAAATAAGTCCTATACCCAGGGTCTAAGGGAGAAAATGCTGGGGGACTGGACTCCTGGGCCCTGTTGGAGAAGACTCATGGGTCCTGGGGGGCTCTCACCCATACCCAGGATGGAGAGAGTCACTCTGGGAGACACGAGTTCAGGGCCCATCTCGGAGCGGCCGACCTGGCACTCATACTCTGCATCATCACTTAAGTCACATGCTTCGATGTGGAGGTGGAATTCACCTGCAGGTGGGGCCCAAGATCAGGACCACAGCCTCTGCTGGTGGGTCAGGGTCTCAGGCTCTGATCACTTACCTCTAGCAGGGTCTCCTGCCAACTGGTACCTTGGGAAGCCTGGGATCCTGGGATCAGGGCCCAGGAGTAGCCCATCTTTGGCCCATTGTACCACACTGCCAGGGGCATTGACCCCGCACTGCAGCTTGACTGAGGACCCCTCCACTACTGTCAGATTTTCAGGCAGGGCCCAGAAGCCTCGGGGGGTTGAGGCAGGAATTGGCAACTGGGCCAGGCCTAGGGACACAAGAGAGTCACCAAGAAAGGGAATGGGGTCTGTCTAGGGAACATGGGTGGGGAATGAGGGCTATTTGGCACTGAGGGTACTGGGTACAAGGCCAGGGTCCCACTCACCTGTGGTCAGCAGCCCCATGAGCAGCAAGGGAGCCCTAGTGGAAGTCTTCAGGGTCACCCTAGGCCCTCTGGCAATGGTTCCCACAGTGCCCATTGCCTGCCACCTGAGCCTGCCTCTGGCTCTCTCTGAGTCCTTCTTTCTGGGTCTCCTGTTTGTTTTTTTCTGTCTCTCTCTCCTTCTGTTTTCCACTCTCCCAATCTCTCGGAGTCTCCTCTGTCTCTCTGTCTTTCTCTCGGTCTATAACTCTTTCTCTTTGAGTCCCCCACCCCACTCTACCCCACCATGGTCTATCTCTCTTTCTCTAAGGAGTTCTCTCTCCCCCTCCTTTTTTTTCCTGCCACCCCACCCCCAACCCTTGCTCTCCTCCTCTCTCTACTCACAGCCCCCCAGGAAGGATTGACTGCTCAGAGTTCTGCAGGCCCTAGGAGCCCAGGAGGGCGATGAAGCTGATGCGGTCAGTGACAGAGTTGGACCGCGTTCTCTGAGCTAGCCTGAGCTTGTCCTTACATTGCTGCCTCCCCCAGGTGCCCTCCCATGTCCCCAATTCCAGCCTCTGCCCAGCAGGCTCCTCCCAGCCCAGCTGGGCCATGAAATCCCCCATCAGCACATGCCAAGCATATTCCTTGGTGCCTCCCCTGCTCCCATGACCCCACGGGCCTGGTTTAGGGTGGGAATATGTAAGAGGTCAGACCTGTGTGGCTTCCCAGCTCAGCATAGGAAGCCGAGAGCTGGGACCTCCAGCTCTTCCCTGCCCTGATACATGACATTGGCAAGTCCCTACAAAAACATCAGCAGCTCAGTGACATGATCTCTGCTGGGGAGTGTGCAAGACTGTTTGTGAACTGTGATCTGTAATAAGCATGTGGAGAGTATATGAGTGAATAAGAGCATCTTAGGTGGGAATGTGCAGTGTGTGGGGCAGGCATAGTGGGAGGAAGTGAAGAGCAGGGGCCCAGTCCTCCAGCCCTCAGTATGGAGGTAATAACAAGCCCAGCATAGGTGCCATTTGACCAGGGCTGTGCGACCTCCTTCTGTCTCTATTTTTTGCCATCTTCTTCCTGTTTCTCTCTCTCCCTCCCTCTCTTCATCTTGATTTCTATCTTACTCATCTCTTTGAAACTCTTCCCTCCCCCTTCTTTCCCATTAAGTGGTTGAATCTCAGCCAGCCTTTAACTATTTCCCTTCCTGTCTCTACCCCTCTACATGTCTCTGTTTTTCTTTCTGTCCCCACACTCTGTCTCTCTCACACACCAGGAGCTCAATAAATATTTGTCCTCAGTCAGCCCCTGACTGTGCCTCTTTCTCTAGTTTCTATGTCTCTGACTCTCCCAGACTGTCACCTCCCTGCATTTTCTAAGCGTATGCTAGTTGGCCTGCCCTCCTTACTCCAGTGAACATGTGCACACTCAGAAGGGATAAGCTCCTGCTTGCTTACTCCTGCAGGAATGGGAGGTGCTCCTTTTCCCCTTCCCAGTGACCTCTATTGGGTCATCCTCCAGGAACAAAATGAGGCATCTGGCTTGAGCCCCCTCCACCCTTAGTGCTTTCTCTCATCTTTCTTTTTTTTTTTTTTCTTTTTTTGAGACAGAGCCTCAAGCTGTCCCCCTGGGTAGAGTGCTATGGCTTCACTGCTCACAGCAACCTCCAACTCCAGGGCTCAAGCGAGTCTCCTGCCTCAGCCTCCCAAGTAGCTGGGACTACAGGCGCCCGCCACAAACGCCTGGCTATTTTTTTTTTTGGTTGCAGCCGTCATTGTTGTTTGGCGGGCCCAGGCTAGATTCGAACCCACCACCTTAGGTGTATGTGGTTGGCGCCTTAGCCGCTTGAGCCACAGGCGCCGAGCCTCTCATCTTTCTTGTTTTTCAATCCTATTATTGACTCCTGCTCTCCTGCCCCATGGCCTCTCTCAACTGCCTGGGAAGTGGGCTGGCTACCCAGCTGCGTGTGTATGTCGGGACCCTTCACCAGTTGTTGTCCTTGGGGGGCTCACTCAGATGAGCCTAGCAGAAACCTACTACTAACATCAGAAGCAGGGAAATGCTGCCTTTGCATTCTCACAACCAACAGTGATCAACAGGGTGATAGTAGGTAAGATGCTCCAAGCAGCTGGGACAAGAAGTGAAAGGCCATTTTGCTCAGTACGGTCAGTGTGTTCTTGCCTAATAAAGTTTATGTGTTTGTAGCAACACGAGTAATTTTAAAACACTGTTACTGAAATTTCAGAAGGAAAAATAAATTTGTTTTTGTTTATTTGATGCTCTTGTGCACCTAAGCCGCTCTTTTTCCCACTGAAGATGATTTCGTTAACTCTTCTTTTAATAATGTTTCTTAAGGACATTCTATCATGTTAGTGGTGTATGTGTGTGTGTGTATGTGCAGTTTTTTAAGTTTCAGATTAATGTGAGGGTACACAGAGCTGTCAATTACTGGGACCTTTAATTAGCACAAAACAAACCTTCCACTCTCCACCTTCACTGTTTTCCTTTTCTGCATACTCTTGGGACCTTGGGCTCTCCATCTTTCCATGCCTGTGGCCCCAGAGAGCCAGGAAGGGGAAGAAATATCAGGTGTCTGGAAAAACAAATCTCACTACCTGACTTCCTTCCCAAGACTCAGGAGACCTGGCCCCAAGCACATCCTATTTCAAAATTCAGGCACTAGATCTGAAACAGAAAAGCCAAGAGTTCAGGTCCCCTGAACTAGGAGTCTGGGATCCCAGGACCCTCTCCTGTCATCCCTAGAAGTCTCAGCCCCTGCTGGACAAGGACCGGGAAAGAGTTCAGGCTTCCCATACTTCCCCCACCTACTCCACAAATGCAAGAAAAGATGTTCACTGCGGATTTTCAAATCCTCCTGGGCCTGTGGGGGTGGGTGTGGGCGGGGCGAGATTGGAGGTTAAATCCACTGACTCTAAGATTTAAGACCATATATCCTGACTCATGTCATCCTCTTCCCAGCTCACCCTGCTGCAGTCAGAGAATCCAGGAGTTGAGTCTAGGAGTTAATCCAAAGATCAATCTATCAGCTTCTCAGCCAGCAAAGGTCTAAAACACCAGTTCTTTACACTCCTGGAAATCCAACCGTCACCCCCCTCAGGGCCATTTAGAAACATTAGCTTCCCAACCCAACAGTAACCGAGAACCTATCTGCAGCAGAAATACCCTGAACAGGAGATCCCGTCTCAACAATTGAGATCAGACTGTGGACCCCTCCCCCTAGTCCCTGCAGGCTCAGGAATGTCAGACGCTGGGTCCCAGCCCTCAGCCCACCTTCCCGCGGCTCAGGGTCCCTCCCACCTGCTCGGCCAGCTGCGCAGCGTGGGAACGCCCCAGCTGGGTTGCATGGAGCCGTCAGAACAAGCTGCGCGGTTCCCAGCCTCCCCGCCTGCCCGAGCCCCGCACCGCCGCCTCCCAGCCGTCGCCCAGCAACGAGGCGGAGGGGCCAGCAGGCCTGGCAGGGAGAAGGGTCCTGGGAAAGGAGGGATTGGCCGCCTGGATTCCTGAGTTTAGAACGTGCTGCAGTTATGAGTGGTAACAAGTCAGCAGAGGGATATTTGGGGAGAAGATTGAGACGGGTGAAGCTGAGACCCCCTCTTCCCAGGGGTCCTAGTTGCTCCGCAGGCACCGAAGTGCCCTCTTCTCGACCCCCAGGCCCAGGGGAGTCCCGGGCTCCGCCTCCCTAGGGCGCGGAAACCGGCGAGGCCCCCAGGGCACCCATTTATAGCTCCGTTTCCACTCAGTGCAGTCCCTCTAGACCTGGGCTGAGCAAATTTCTTCCACTCCCTCCCCTCTTTCTTCGTAACTCCCATGCCTTTCCCTCAACGCTGGCAGGGCACAGGTGTCCAACCCAACTGAGACCCCCTCCTTGAACCCAGGTGTTCCCGCTCCCAGACCCCAATTGGGCTGGGGCGGCCCGCAGCCGGGGGACCCAGCCCTGCAAGCCCCCATTCATCCGCTCAACGGCCGCGGGAGTTTCTCAATGAAAAGAGGGCCGGTCTCCTGGGGGGCGGGGCAAAGTGGGGCGGGGCGAGAGGGATCCTATTGCTCCCTCCCCCCCGCCCCGCCTCCACCCCTGGCCTCTCAGAGACTAAGGTCGCCAAACCCAAAGGCGTTTCAGAGTGCGTGAGCCTGTGAACCCGCAGACTGTGAACCCGCAGACTTGGGAACTCCTGGAGTCTTCTAGCCTGGGACCAAGTCGAGTGCAAAGGGAGTTCCGGGCCAGGGTGGTGGGAGGCGTGCTTCTGAGGAAGAAGTTGGCAGAAAAGCCACTGGAACAGCAAATCTCATGGACCTTGGGAGACACATACTCAGGATGCTGGTCCCTGCCCTGCTCATCCTCCTCTTCTGCTTCAGAGGGTGTGCAGGTACTGGTAGAGGGGAGCGGATGAATATGGGTGTGGGGGGTTCTGGCTGCTACTTTACTAGAGAAAAGGGGCTGGAGGCTTCTGAGCTTAAGGGAAAAGGGGATGGGGAACTGGACTCCCGGTCTTGAATGAGGGAGTTCTTGAATGTGCTAAGCACGACCCTGCTTCTCCCCATTCTCCTAGGAACATCGCCCCATTTCCTGCAACAGCCGGAGGACCTGGTGGTGCTGCTGGGGGAGGAGGCCCGGCTGCCTTGCGCTCTGGGGGCCTACTGGGGACTAGTTCAGTGGACTAAGGACGGGCTGGCTCTAGGGGGCGAAAGGGACCTGCCAGGTGAGAAGGCACTTCTCTCTACTCAGGGAGGGGCTGGCTCTAAGGAGGGGCTGCTGGGCTTGGGCTGTATCTGAAGTTTCTATTTTGACATTTTTAAGTTTGGGAAATTGATGGGCTTGGGTAAACATTTGAGAGTCCTGACTTTTGAGCTGCTTCTTTGGGGGTCACCCACAGAGTTTGGGATTCTTATACTGTAAAATAGTGTGTAAATGCAGAAAAGTTCAGTAAACATCCTATGTAGCCAAATGGTCACTCGCTACCCTCCCAGATGCCCTCTTTATTCCCTTCCTCTGCCACAGCCCTCCTCTTCCTCACCACAGAAGTAGTATCTCACCTAACTTTCATGGCAATCATCTTGCTTTCCTTTCTGACTTTATAGCCTCCACATCTGAATAAC